CCCCGCCTGCCCCCCCTCCTCCCCTCGTGTACACTGCGGGCACGGGCCTGCCCCCTCCTCCCCTCGCTCACGTCGGGCCGACCCGCCCGCTGTGCCGGTGCCTCCTGCGCCCTCTCCTCGCTCCGAGCGGGTTTGTCCGCGTCATGGAGCCAACAAGTCCATGCCTCCAGCCGCTTTTCTTCTCTGTCCCTCCTCTTCAGGCGGACTCGGGGGTGCCGGGGACCCTGCACACCCCACCCAAAGCCACGGGTTCCCCTCGCGCCCGCCGCCCTCCTGCCCCTGCCCCAGCCCGTCCCCCCACCTTCCTGGGCTCTCATGTAAACGGGGTACTTGGCAGAGGTGACATCTGTATGGCCGGAGGCGCATGGGAGACATCGGTGACTTACAAAAATCACTTTTACAAAGTACACACGTGTACTGGGTCACATTCACGACACAGGTAAATGTCGACTGGCTGTCGTCTACGTTTGTGGCTCACCTCAATCTGTTCACGCTTCTGCGCGTGGGACCCCAATCCTCTGCTGGGGAGCTGACCCTCAGCCATTCAGGGGGTGTGCTAAACCCCAGTTCCAGAAGCAACCTTGTTTTCCCGGCTACAGCGGGAGCTCGGGGTTCGGCACAAGCTTCAGCCTGGGCATTGGGAACAACACCAGGACCTGAGCAAGAGCAGGAGGGGGCCCCTTCTCCCCAGAACGGGCACCAGGTGCTGCGCCCGGGGGACTGAAGGTGAGCGGACTCTGGAGAAGCCACATCCTGGTGACCGAGCCGCGGGTCTGGCCCTAAAGTAAAACGTGCCTCCTGGATGGTCGGCCTTCAGTGCCAGACCCCGCGGATCTCAGGCTGGTTTTCCGGCCCTTGCGGATCGAGAGTTCTAACCCATGTGCTCGCAGTCCCACCGCCCAGAGGACCATCGCATGCTGGGTTTAATTCTTTCCACACGTTTTAATGTATCTATATATACACAATCTCCTTTATTCTTTTTACTTTTACAAAACTGAGAAAATATGTAAACTCTTATGTTAACTGAATCTGCCAGCATTTAACACCGCATGATAGTCCACTGTAGGAAGGACAGTTGCTTACCGAGTTTCCTACTAAGGAGCACTCGTGTTTCCCTATGTACATGATGTGTGCTGTTCCAGTGCACTGCTTCCACCATCGCTTCAGGCCCCGTGGGGCCGTGGGACTGTGGGGCCGTAAAACACGTACATTCTTACGGACCAGCTGTCTTACCCACCGTCCTCCACAAGGAGCATACAATTTACATCCCCACCAGCATGGAAGCTGTTTGAGGGAGGAGGTGACCGAGGCTGAATGCTTTCTAAAAAAAATATTCGTTTGTCTGCTGAACGTTTACTGAGTGTGTACTGTATGCACAGCACTATGTGGGTGCTGGGGACACGCGGGTGACCCAGGACCTGGAACTGGCTTGTTGCATTCTTCCTTCTCTGGCGACGGCAGGTTTGGGAAGCATCTAGCTCTGCAGATGAACGAGCCACATCACATCATGACGTAACAGGTGACGTCAGAGAGAGCACTCGGCACAGACGGCGCCACCACCGTGATGGGACACTGTTTACCACATGCTCCTGCCTGGGAGCCGCTGGTACAGATGTGGCCAGAAGGCGGGAGACTTTACTTCCTCCACCAGCTGGGTCCTGCCCAGGGCTGCCCATCGGGACACTTGTGAGAAACTGAAAGGCAGGAGGTGGCAGGAGCCATGTGCGCCAGGGAGACAGGTTCCTGCTAAGGCTGAGTGGCAGGGAGGGGCAGAGCTGTGGAGGAGCCGGGGCACACTAGGCCGCAGTGGCTTCCCCTCAGGTGCCCATCACTGGGTGATTCCATCTCCCCGTGTACTCCTCCATCCTGCTTAACAATTTTGCAGCCTAGATCCCAATATGAAATCCTATCTGAAATGTCTGAGGTGCTTTTGCTTCCCGACTGCTGGAGTAGCCCCTGAAATTCCAGCAGGCTTGAGTGTGCCTGACACCCACCTGGCATCTTTCCGTGTCCAATGGAGCCAGTGTTTCTGGAAGCAATGGAAGAGTACTGAGCTTTTCCCTGCAGCTGGACACCAGGTGAATCCAGTGACTGGCTCTGAGGGGGCATCATGTCCGGAAAATACACATCTTTAAACACTGGGACACACTCAGGAAGGCAGGCTGAGCACCCTGTGACAGGTGCACGGGAACTGAAACCTGCATGAGGAAATGGCACGCCCACGACTTCCCACTGACACTCATCTCCTTAGACACATAAACAAGTGAGCGGCAGGAAGCAAACCGTGTGCACACTGAGCCGGTGATGCCCTCGTTCTGCCGGTGCACGAACAGTCGGATCCACGCATGGCTGAATGCACGAAGAGTTGAATCCATGCAGAGCTGAATCCACACAGTGAAATGTTTACGGGACATGAACCCTCTGCTGCACGGGGGCCTGGGGTTCTGTGGTCGCACAGAAGCCGTCCGATGCGACTGTCTCCAACGTGACAGGTGTTAAATCACACCCTGCTCCTGCTCTTCACATGCAGACAGACTCGGCTCCACAGCACAGGCCGTCACTTTTGTGCCCGCCCTTCGGCCACCGCATCTTCTTTACTAGCCAACAACACTAAAAACAGCTTTACCGACACATGTATAGAAATACAACCAAGCCAGAGAATGGACACGCAGCACCTTGCCCCTAACTCGGCCCACTCCCGTCGTCGTCGTCCTCGCTGTCTCTGTCGCAGTAGAAGATGTCCCTGAACAGGAAGGCGCGCCTGGGCGCCGCAGGCGTCTGCAGCCTCGCGCGGCCTCTCTCCATCTTCTTCTCCAGCTTCTCTCTGAGCAGAGGCAGGCTCGTCTCATGAAGGTAGTCGATAATCTCTAAAGAGAAAGGTTTACCTCTGAAGTCACTTGTGCAAAACCTTTCCCCGGGGTGAAGGGACAGGGGCATTGCTGATGTCTCGTGTGGTTCTTCTGTGCCAGGCTGTTCTCACTGGTTTGCTTATACGCGCTCGCACAATCCTCTCGAAATCCTATGAGGCAGGCGCTGCTGTTGAACCGTTTCTCAAGTGAGGAAGCCAAGGCACCGAGACGTTATGCAGCTTGCCCAAAGTCATGGGCTTAGTCGGGGAGGGGCCAAGATTCAAACCCAGGGAGTGACGTCTGCAGAATGCAGGAGGTGTTTCATCACACACCCCAGGGCAGTGGTCACCAAACTCTGGTGCCAGGCAGACCACTTGAGGCTCCTGTGAGCTTGTTAGGGAAAATCCCGCCTCTGAACCGGCCTGGAGACCAGCATTTGGTATGTCAGGGATGAGGCCCCGCTGTGTACATTTTTAACAAGCTGCCCACATGACTCTGATAACCCAGGTCTGAGAATCACATCTAAACCACCCACAAGTGGCCGCAAAGGAAGCGGGTCTCTTACGTTCTTCCTGGAAGTGTGTGTGTGTGGTGTGACCATCATGTGCCCAAGGCACTACCGTCGCATGGCACTGCACACCGTGGCCTTAGCCGTTCAGATACTGAAAATACTGACCTGGGAAAGTCTTCTTCTGCCAGAAGGGAACACAGGTCGCTTTCAGCTTATAAAATTTAGTTTGAACATAAGACGGAGGAACATCCCTTAGGAAGGAAAAGTTTAAAAAGAGGTTAGTGTGAGTTCAAAGCCGATCACTCCAGCACGTGTGCTAACGGGACACGGAGGTGAGGTCTGTAGACCTCGGGAGCTTTCCTCACCCTCAGTGTGAAATCGTCATGGCCACAAACACAATCAACCACAAGCCTCACGACCCCTCTATCAGGGGGCCACGACTCTCTGCCCTCATTTGAGAGATGAGGAAACTGAGGCAGAGAAGCTGTGCAAGCTAATACAGGGCAAGTTGGGACACGGGTGATTTGACTCCAAATTCTACACTCTTAATCAGTACACTTAGGATCAATACACACTTGTCACCACTCAAATGCAGAGGGCCCCAGTTTTTTATTTTGTGAAGCTTAAAGCAGATGCTGATGCTGTTTTGTGACTCACATACATTTTCACTTTATAGTAAGTAAAACCAAAACATCCACGTCTTACAGTTTCTAAAGTGAAAACCACTAACTTCACTCCTGGACACTTTTTCTTAAATAATGAAAGTGTGACGTATTTGTTTCAATAATTAGCTAATCTATCAGTTAGAATGATGACCACAGACAATTTTATCTGTTAACGACATAGAGGCAAAAGATGAGTGGGCTCCTTCAACCTCTTCATCACAGCGACCACTAGCTGAACACAGAGCACCAGGCACCAGGCTGAGTCTGCCCTGCGTCACCTCCTCAGGGCCCCATTGGGTCCTATTAAGCCAGTGTGTAGGTGAGCAAACTGAGACAAGGCCGGGAACCACCTGCCTGAGGACGGCTAAATAAGTTCCAGGTCATTCTGACTCCAGGGCACCACGCCACCCGCTTCCCACAAGGCCACGTGCTGGCGTGATGTTCTGCGACCCAGCTCAGGCTCAGACGATACTTGGTCTAGACATTGCCAAACTCAGTAGGTGTTACGTCTCATTAAGTGAAAATGCTGTCTTTAAATCCTGCCTAAATGATTCACAAGGGAGGCTTTAAAAAATCTAGAGATAATGAACTTTCAATTCTTTTTCACTGTTTTAATTCACTAGTAAAACTTTGAGGGTGTACTATTTCAAACAGTATTTGACTAGATGCCATAATCTCCATGTTACAGCATTGAGACTTATAAATCTCAAGTAGAATAATCCATTTTAAAAATATACATGAGCCAGGTAGCTCAGTTGGCTATAGCGTCGTCCCCAAACGCCAAGGTTGTGGGTTTGATCCCCAGTCAGGGCACAAACAGGAATCAACCACTGACGCATAAATAAGTGGAACAACAAATTGAGGTCTCTCTCTCTCTTTCAAAAATCAATTTTTAAAAAATTATAAAATATACATCTAATTTTTACTTAAAATCATTAAAAACCCATTTAAGACATGTGATCTGAAATGTCACAAAATACACAAAAATTTATTGGAAAAGTCAGATTTTAAAAAGTAGGTTGACAGTACAAAGGGTGGGCTCTCTGGACATAGCCCCCAGAACGCAAGTTGGTGGGGTACAAAGCAAGGTCCCCCTCCTTCTAAGCACCTGACACTGTCACCCCTCAGGGACCCACCCCACAGGGGAGCTAGGGAAGGAAAGGGTTCTAACTGATAGGTTAGCATGTGCCCGTAATTCCTGGCAGGGCCTGTCACTAAAAGATTCCAGTTCTCCAAGTTAAAAAGAGGTACTGCTCTTTGGCCACTTCCCAAAGTATAATAAACTGACCACCGAACCAGTTTAAACCATTTCTGATGGGTCAATGACAACTTTGCACCAGCAGCCATGCTCCTGTCCGCCTTCCAAACTAAACGCCAAACAATCCCTCAACACCCACTTCCCAAAGCCCACCAACACCTGTGCCCCGTGACCCTCAGCAATCTGCACAGAGGACTGTGCTTAGCAGGCTAGCTCTCCCTCGGTCACCGAGCAAGCCACCTGGACACTGAGCACAGTGGCCTCTCCTCAGGAGCGGGCCTGGCGCNGTAAAACCAAAACATCCACGTCTTACAGTTTCTAAAGTGAAAACCACTAACTTCACTCCTGGACACTTTTTCTTAAATAATGAAAGTGTGACGTATTTGTTTCAATAATTAGCTAATCTATCAGTTAGAATGATGACCACAGACAATTTTATCTGTTAACGACATAGAGGCAAAAGATGAGTGGGCTCCTTCAACCTCTTCATCACAGCGACCACTAGCTGAACACAGAGCACCAGGCACCAGGCTGAGTCTGCCCTGCGTCACCTCCTCAGGGCCCCATTGGGTCCTATTAAGCCAGTGTGTAGGTGAGCAAACTGAGACAAGGCCGGGAACCACCTGCCTGAGGACGGCTAAATAAGTTCCAGGTCATTCTGACTCCAGGGCACCACGCCACCCGCTTCCCACAAGGCCACGTGCTGGCGTGATGTTCTGCGACCCAGCTCAGGCTCAGACGATACTTGGTCTAGACATTGCCAAACTCAGTAGGTGTTACGTCTCATTAAGTGAAAATGCTGTCTTTAAATCCTGCCTAAATGATTCACAAGGGAGGCTTTAAAAAATCTAGAGATAATGAACTTTCAATTCTTTTTCACTGTTTTAATTCACTAGTAAAACTTTGAGGGTGTACTATTTCAAACAGTATTTGACTAGATGCCATAATCTCCATGTTACAGCATTGAGACTTATAAATCTCAAGTAGAATAATCCATTTTAAAAATATACATGAGCCAGGTAGCTCAGTTGGCTATAGCGTCGTCCCCAAACGCCAAGGTTGTGGGTTTGATCCCCAGTCAGGGCACAAACAGGAATCAACCACTGACGCATAAATAAGTGGAACAACAAATTGAGGTCTCTCTCTCTCTTTCAAAAATCAATTTTTAAAAAATTATAAAATATACATCTAATTTTTACTTAAAATCATTAAAAACCCATTTAAGACATGTGATCTGAAATGTCACAAAATACACAAAAATTTATTGGAAAAGTCAGATTTTAAAAAGTAGGTTGACAGTACAAAGGGTGGGCTCTCTGGACATAGCCCCCAGAACGCAAGTTGGTGGGGTACAAAGCAAGGTCCCCCTCCTTCTAAGCACCTGACACTGTCACCCCTCAGGGACCCACCCCACAGGGGAGCTAGGGAAGGAAAGGGTTCTAACTGATAGGTTAGCATGTGCCCGTAATTCCTGGCAGGGCCTGTCACTAAAAGATTCCAGTTCTCCAAGTTAAAAAGAGGTACTGCTCTTTGGCCACTTCCCAAAGTATAATAAACTGACCACCGAACCAGTTTAAACCATTTCTGATGGGTCAATGACAACTTTGCACCAGCAGCCATGCTCCTGTCCGCCTTCCAAACTAAACGCCAAACAATCCCTCAACACCCACTTCCCAAAGCCCACCAACACCTGTGCCCCGTGACCCTCAGCAATCTGCACAGAGGACTGTGCTTAGCAGGCTAGCTCTCCCTCGGTCACCGAGCAAGCCACCTGGACACTGAGCACAGTGGCCTCTCCTCAGGAGCGGGCCTGGCGCAAGTGCAAGGGCAGCAGCACCGCGGGCTCCAGGGAAGGCAGGCAGCTCATGCACACGGGGCACTCTCTCCTCGGGTGCAAAGGAGCACCGCGCCGAGACCACGAGGGAAGCGAGAGAGCAACAGGCTCTCCCGTCTCAAAATCTCTCCCAGCAGCCTTCTCATCACCAGGAGGAAACCGCCACCAAAAGCAACTGCATAAAAACTACAGCGGTGAAACGTGACAGGTGCCAGCAGAGCCAAACTGGCCCAAACCAGACCCAGGGCCTCCCAATGTGAGTGATGAGCTGCACTCAGCACGTTCCTGACTGAAATCCAAAGCCCTAACGTAACCGGGAGGAACCATCAGACACTCCAGCGGAGGGAGGTTCCCCCCACATTTCAACTCTACAGACTGACGGACACGAGGAGACAGGACACGCAGCCTGTGATCCTGGACTGCATCTCAGATTGGGAGAAAGGACAGGACTGGGACAAGCGGTGACGTTTGAATGTGGACGGTGTTTATAGAGCAGCACTGTCAAAGTCAACTTTCCTCAGCATGACAGCTGTAGAATGACACCCTTAGGACACGCCGCCCACCACCAGCGCTCAAATGGTTAAGGGAAGCATTTAAGTACCCTGGAGAAGGGAGTAGGGGTGGGTAACGCAAATGTTGCAAATTGCTGGTTACCGGCAAAGGGGGCAAAGGGCGTGTGGGGCTCTCTCTACTAGTCTCACAACGCGCCAGCTCTCTGAAGCTTCTGAGGCTCTGGACTCACTCCATTCACTCCTCGAAGGTGCCTTCTGTGGGGCAGAGTGGGGGTTCAAAATACACACGCACATAAACACAACTTCCAGATAAGCCCACATGCAGCATGAATATGAACAGACGGTCTTACCCTATGGTACCAGCCAGATCTTCCCAGTCTATTTCATTAGCATCCTCCACATTTATTTCATACAACCTATGAGAAATCATAAAATTGAAGTTTTCAAGCAAACATCAGCACAACGGCCATCTTCAGGGATGCACGTTCACTGGTGCCGGCTCCCTTGTTGCACAGGCCCAGCGAGGTAAGACCACTAGCCCAAGGTGAGCCCAAGGTGACTAAGTTAGTGGGCTACAGCCTGGAAAGCCACCCTTCCTCCTCCCGAGCCCTCTGCACCTCCCCATTATCTGGTATCCTCCCACACCACGGTGCTTGTCACGGTAAAAACGCACTTTCACCCCTCAGTGCAGACACAGAAGCAGTACCTGTGTGCTCAGCACACACCACGTGACGCTCACTAGTTCACTGACCCTCAGCGCCCCTGAGGAGCTCGGGGGGGCTACCTCCACTCTATAGCCGCAGAGATGGGGCTGAGAACCTGAGTCCCTGGGTCAAGGTTTCACAACTGCCAGGCGGTACCGACACCGGAACCCGGGCAGCCCGACATGGGATGTCTCCTCGGCTCCGCCCATCTATGGGGTCTCTCTGGTGGGAACACGGGGAGGCACGCCAGCGACATTACAGCGGGTTCAGGATGAGCAGGGGGAACACGGCTGGACGTGGGGGGGGCACAGAATCCAGAGCCTCCTTCTGTCTGCTCTTTACTGTTTCTCACTCAACTGGAGCCCAGTCCATCTCACAGGCTTCTGGAAACAGACCCGTGACCCCCTTCCTTCAGGACAGGGGGCTCTGCGAGGCCCAGAACTCAAAGGCCCAGCCCCAGTGGCACCGACTGCACGTGATGGAGAGCAGCAGGGCGCGGCCGGGGGGAAATAACTAACATCCGAGGGAAAACCTCCCGAGGCTAAAATAACTGTATTTGTCGCGTGTGTGGTAGGTTTTCCATGCACCTTTCACTCCTCCCAGGAGCACTCGGGGGCAGGCACTATCACCATCATGCTCGTTTAGGACAAACCACCTACGCAAGGGAAACACCATCGTACACGGGCAGGGGCTGGAAGGGGCCTGCACCGCGCACCCCCGCGCGGCCTGCGGCTGAACACCGCCCTGGCAGAGCGGCAGCGAGCCGGCCCCGCTCCCACACGCACCTCTCGATCAGGTTGATTTTGGCCTGCAGGGCGTTCACTCCGCGGTACACGTCCCGGCCATTCGTCATCCTCTTGGTGAGAATCTCCGTCCTGCATCAAAAGAAAGAAAAGCACAGCTCACTTTCAAGGGTACAGCTTCTGTTCCGGTTCCCTATCTTTTTCTCATCTAAGCTCCTGCCTCAGAACCACTTTCCAGCTCTGCAACTCATCCCTGCCCACATCTGCTACCACCCACAATATACCTGTTTTCCAAAAAAAGTGGGACAGGGCACACCAAATGATAGACAGCAGTGGTTACTGAACCTGGATGATGAATACAAGGAGCCCTACGTTTGTGTGGTAACTTCCACAATAAACAAGTTTAAAAGGTGAAAAGAATAAGCCATCAGCAGGTGCTAAGGGACTCTGTGTAAAGTCGGTTTAGTCTTATTTATACACACAAGGATGTCACTCTGACTCCCGTTCCAGCTGCTGGAACATGGGACAATTTAGTGAAGTCCTGGAAGATCGGAGGATTCCTCTAAGGTGCAAAGCTAACGGCTATCGGGAAGATGACCTAAGGTCCTAAAGAGAGGAGCAATCCAACTTATTTAAAAAGGTCCTTGTCTTGCACAGAAAAATGTCACAATCTGATGGCCAGGTCATTAGCTACCACACTCACTTTTTAAAAAAAATATCTTTATTGATTTCAGAGAGAGGGAGAGGGGGAGAGAGAGAAACATTAATGAAGAGTCACTGATCGGCTGCCTCCTGCACGCCCCCCACTGGGGATCAAGCCCGCAACCCCGGCATGTGCCCTGACCAGGAATCGAACTGTGATCTCCTGGATCCCAGGTTGATGCTCAACCACTGAGCCAGGGCAATTCACCTTCCTGATGGGAGAGACGTGGCACACACGTGGCGATGGCACCCATGTTCTTATTAACAGCCATCCTCATTCACTGCTTTGAACTGTCACTTGAGGTCATTTCAATGATACATGAAGTAAATGTATGTTCAGGCTGCAAGTGTCCTGCTTTTTTCTTCAAATTGAGACTCAAGTCTCACACATTGTTTAAATTCGTTGACTCTGAAGGTGGTCTACTTTCTTTAACACTGACCATCAACCCTCCGACTAAGGCTCACAACCCACCCTTTTCTTAGGCTAAAATGTAGGGGTGGGGAGGGCTCTGGTTCCTCCTTCTTACACACTTTCCCCCAAACGTTATCTGTTCTTTGGAGTGTATTTCCGAGCCTAGTCTTCTATTAAAATAAACAACTCTACAGTGGAATGTAAGGTGCACAAACAAGAAACAGTATAATCTAGGAGTTTGCTTTTAGCATAAAGTATGCGTGCTCAGAACCGCCTTCTTGTTTGACAGTCAGGATGCCCGAGCTTCCTTTGTGCAGGGGTGGGTCCTGAGCCCTGGGAGCCCTGCTTCCAGGGCCAGCTCAGAGAACCTCCAGGTGGGAAAAGCTACACGAGGCCAAGAATGTGCAGAACGCTCAGGACTGAAGGTGCCTGGGGCAACGGATGCACCTGACATTCTAAGATGAAGAGCAGGGCTCCCCACTTTAGGCAAAGGCAGATGGATGCGGGTGTGACAGCAATATTTAAAAGGCAGAGCTACCCCTGATCACTGTGCTTGTGATTTCTCCCCTGAATGTTAGATTTTTTATTTTTAATGCTACAAACAGAAAACCACCTTGTTATCAAAGACTTAAAAGGGGACAGACTGAAGAAATCAGAAGTCTGTGTTCAGGATTAAAAAGGTTCAAGTTCCTATGAGGAAGCCGTACAGCGAGTCAGGGCTGGTCAAATGCTAACTTAAATCAGATGCTGACACTCAGGAGTTGAAGCAGCAAACGAGGGGTGCGGTTCTTGGCATGGAAGGCTTTCCATATGGGGGACACAGATACTCTTATAACCCCACCCATCCGCCCACTCTGCAAAAACTGTGCAGAGAGGGAGACAGAGACTTACTGAAATTTACAAAAGAAGCCTTAAAACTTACCACTTACTTTTACACTGCATCCAGTTTCTGGTTTCTACTTTGGCTTCGACTTCTACCCAAGATATGCCCTTGTAGAGTTTTTCCCGAACAATTGACAGGCGGCCCTCAGGATTTTCTTGGAGTTTAGAATCTACCTCTTTTAAATCCTGGGGAGACATTTTCTTTAGAATCACTTCTTCAACAGCCTTGATTAGTTTCTGGGTTTCCGTCTTACTCCAAGCGCCATGATTTCTTTCTGTAGATACAAAGGATGGTCTGAGAGTGGCTAATCTATTTCTTTCAAACAAAATATTACGAACGAAATGATAACGACAGATACATGTCTTTACACATTTGTCCAAACCCATAGAATGTACAACATCAAGATGACCCCTGATGCCAACTCTGGACTCTAGGGGATTAGGACGTGTCTGTGTAGGTTTGTGGACTCTAACAAACGTACCCCTCTGATGGGGGAGGCTGATGGTGGGGGAGGCTGTGCACTGGGGGCAGGCGGCATGTGGAAATTCTCTGTACCTTCCTCTCAATTTTACTGTGAACCCAAAACTGCTCTAAAAAAGTAAAGTCTGAAAAAAAGAGGTAAGTCAGACACTTTCAGAAGACAATGGGAAACATCTCAATTAAGAAGGTAAGATTATCAGATAGTTACACACAAACTAAAATGAAGCTACTACAGTGGTGGTGGATCCATTTTTAGAATCAGCGCCTGCCCACATGGCGGACACGGGAGCCCCGTGCTAACAGTGACAGCCACTAAAGACTGTCTCCTTAAAGCAACAGGATTTTTTCATGTGAAGAATATAAGCGAGGAAGCTTTTGATGAAAGAGAAAGAGACAGGAGATCAGCAACACTGGTTTGGGGGAAAGTCCCTGAGCTGCACCCCTCCTTCCCCAAGTTTCCCTGCCAGCTGGGGGAGGGCCTCTTCCGCCCAGCCTCCTTGGAATCGGTCCACTGGGCAGCAGTCACAGTTGCGCTGAAAGCGACAGAACTGAGGTGTGGTAGCCATCAGTCTTGTGACTAAAGGTCACGGTTTCATAATGTCACAGGAGGAAGTGAAATAAATCAGTGTTAGAAGATGGTTTAAAAAGCAAAAGCTTGCTCTATAGACAGGTGCAACGATTCCTGGGCATTGGGTCATGGTGGCCGACAGCTGGTGGGGCTCGTTCATTCACCCAGGTGGGCACCAGAGACCACAACTCACCACTGCTGATCTGGGAGAACTTCAGGGCAACGGAGAGGCTGCTTCGAGCCACCAAGTCCCCAATCTTTTTCCAGTCATTGCCATGGAGGGAGTGGTATATTTTTAACTTCTCCATATCCCCTTTGCTGTACCTACGACAAAAGGAACACGTTATAATTCTGTTTTAAAATTTACTTTGTAATTAGGCGAAATTCACAACACTAATGATTCTAAAGACTACGATTCAGTGACATTTAGCAGGTTCACAATGTTGTGCCTTAATCACCTCTATCTCGTTTTTAGGCTTTAATCACCCCCAAAGGGCACCGTGCACCCATGAAGCAATCGCTCCCAGTTAATAATGACCTGTTGCAGGCCATGGCTTGCCTACCACCCAGAGGCTGCAACAACTCTGCACTAACTACAAGATTAAAGACCGTTGTCATCACAGTCCCCTGTAGTCCTGGGAAAGCTGGAGAGGCGGGCTGTCCGATGACCAAGGGGCAGGCTGTCCGATGACCAAGCGGAAGGCTGTCCGATGACCAGTGCTGCTGTCACTTTCTACCCAGGCATCTCCACTGTGGTCACCGTATCAATCTGTCCCCATAGTCCAGGCCAGAGGCCAGGCTCAGCACAGTGGCCAGAGCCAAATGGGATCAGGGCATCCCCATCCAAGCCCTAGAGGCCCCACACTTCACCCACAATACTGCACAAATTTCTTAATGTGCCTACAACGCTCGCCGCATTCAGAGTACGGTAAACAGACTTGAGCCCTTCGCTATTAAGAACTGTGCCTTCTAGTAGTTTCCTTCTCAAGGCAATTGGGATCTTTCTGAGATTAAAAAAAACTTAAGGGCACCCTTGAAGCAGCAAAAAAGAGAACGCCAGACTGCATGTACAAAAAAAAGGAAACATTAAAATTCTTTATTTTTGACTTTCTACACTTTTTTAAATTAAGAATTCCTTAAGTTGGAAAAATGTTCTAAAGGTAAACAGTGACCACAACGCAAAAAATATGGTACAAATAACTGAGTGAACTTTATTATTAGAATGACAGACTTTCATTATTCTAAAAATTTCATTCCCACACTTACATCACAGGTAGGAAAATGTTCCCTCACCTGTCACCATTCATTTCCCAAAAGAATTCTTCTAAGTCTGATTTCAAATGTCATCTTTAGGACTTCCCTTAAAGTTCTGTCCTCAGTTGTCTAAAACTGGGGCTTGGCTCCAAGGGTAGGATGGATGTCAGTCTGTGTGGGGGACCTTTCCTCTACGTAAGGCTAATTTTTTCTTTTGGTAAAAAAAATTTTTTTTAAATGTTTTTATTGATTTCAGAGAGAGGAAGGGAAAGAGGGAGACAGAGAGAGAGAAACATCAATGACGAGAGAGTCGTCATTGATCGGCTGCCTCCTGCACACTCCCCTACTGGGGGTCAAGCCCGCAACCTGGGCATGTGCCCTGACTGGGAATCGAACTGGTGATCTCTTGGTCCCTGGGTCAATGCTCAACCACTGAGCCACAGCAGTTGGGCCTCTATTGGTAAAAAAATTTTTTAAAAGAAACCAAGGTCATATCAATGTTTGTAGTTCAGATAACACACATGTGTTGGTTTCAAATCATGTAGCTCGGTAGAACCCAGTTGGCCCTGCTGGAAGCACTAACTCTGCCTCACAGAGGGCGTCCAGCTGGGGAGCCGCTGGCCGCTGTTCAAGCCCTCAGAGGAGGAGCTGACGCTCTCACACCCGTCCCCTCGTCCTGGAGCAGAGGGCTTCCCCACAGCCCACACTTCACCTACACTGGTTTTACTTGGAATGTTGGAAACAAACTGTAAGTGGATATTTTATTTAGGAAAAACGGAGGAAAGAATGACTATTGCCACATAAGCACTTGCGTAGAATCTAATCTCTGAATCACATTCATGTGACCTCGTACTGGTGCCAACCTCCACCTTCAAATATCTGACAACCTGAGAACCGGGCTAAGTGCTCAGGGGCATGTCGCCCCCAGAAGGAACGCCGGGTTCACAAGGCACTCACGAGTTAGCAGACAGACTTCCTGAGTGACAGAAAGAGGTAGAGCACAGTGAGTGTGGAAATGAAAGTATAAGGAAAAAGTGAGGACTCAGGGGAGACCACACGAGGTTAGAGTGGAAATGGAAATGAGCCAAGAAGACACCACCTGACACCGAGACACACCTGGTTTCACACGGATCTTCGTGCCTTTACCTCTAACCTGGCGTGTGGACATTTTGATTTAGTGTCAGCACAGACCAGAGAGACACTCTGTGTCCAGCTGCTAAGACGTAGCTCTTACCTGCCTTTGTAATTATTGACATCGAACATCTTCTTGGCTCGGTAGTACACGAGTTTCCAGGGCCGGGCGATGCCCTTACCTAAAGTCAGAGAGGTGATCAGTGGGCATGTGGCATGAAGTGGTCACAGCTGTAAAGGGGCCCAGAACAGCCCTTTCAATAGCACTAACTACCCTAGACCCGTGGCAAGGCTGGGTCACCATGTCCTGCAGGGAGCTGTCGAGGAAAGCGGATGTACATAATCAACCCAATTTTTTGGAGACGTCTGAAAACTAGATGCTGTGTATGCAGCGGCTCCAGCTCCGGCCTCCTGAAACCCACGGAAAAGACCCTCATAAGGCAGAGTAACATTCACATAATTTGAATTGGAGGAAGGGGGGCTAAAGTGGGGACACGTGCCACCCGCTCTCCATAGGAACTTTCCAAACGATTAAGCTTTCCTCGCTCCCTGCAGATGAAACAAGCCCCCCACACGGCTCGCTCTTCCGTTTTCCTGGGAGCTCTCCAGAGACCACCTCAGAAATTAACCTCCTTATATCTGAGAGGTTTTTCCAGGCCAATGCTGTATCGTTTCATGACCCTGACTTCCAAACATCACCTCCAGGAAGGGTTCCAGCTACCGGGCACATACACAGCCACACTTAGAACACTCAGGAGACCCTGGTGCCTATAGGATGTGCTCTGTGTGGTAAGTGCAAAACATAGGCCACAAAGAACAGAAAGGGAAACCAAAAGCAAAGTTATTACCAAGTCGGACAGCTAGAAGTTGATCATCTCATTCTTGCTCAAATCTGTAAAGCACTATACCTGGGAGGCATGAACACACTCCTGATCCCCCAAACACAGGCTGCCAATGAGAACACTGGTCCCCATGCGCCGAGGGCCTGGCACTATGCTGAGCACCCACCATGGGTGCCATATGAGGTGAGAGGTCGAGGGTGGTCAAGCGACAACTCTGGACTCACCAATGTGCAGTCTAAATGCGTATTTTCTCTTGAGGTCGGTGATGGCGGCCTTCTCCTCTGGGTACCTGTCTGTGTACAGCAGCTTGTCCGCATTCTCAATTCCAGTCAGGGACAGAAATTCTTGCACGTTTTTTTCTAACTGCTGATTTTCCTTTGCAGAAAACTTGCCAAATTTAATGGCGACACCTAGGATTTGGGGAGGGAAAGAAAGTATGTGTTGTCAATAATGAATGAAAGTGAACCCAGCACTAGCTCCTCAGCGGTGACAATGCAGGGGCCCACCAGCCTGTCCCTGCCCATCCCTACCGGGAGCAGCCTGGCTCGTGCGCTACAGCTTAGTCTCTGGTCCCCGCTGTGGAACCCAGCTGTCCTTCCGATTCAGCTCAAGCCACACTCCTCTCCCAAGGTCATCCCATTCCAAGGGACCTTCCTTACTCATCAATCTATTAAAATAGTTCTTTTATATTAAAAAGTGAATGTGCCCGGCCGGGCGTGGCTCAGTGGTTGAGCATCAACCTAGGATCCAGGAGATCGCAGTTTGATTCCTGGTCAAGGCACATGCCCGGGTTTCAGACTTGATCCCCAGTGGGGGGCGGTGCAGGAGACAGCTGATCAATGACTACTCTCTCATCATTGATGTTTCTCTCTCTCTCTCCCCTTCTCCTTTCCTCTCTCTGAAATCAATAAAGATATTAAAAAAAAAAGTGAATGTATATTCATTAAAAATTGAGAGTATAGAAATAAAAGTTGAGAAAAGCCGCCTTCACTCTCCTCTGCCACACTGCCCCCCGTGGCTGCCTGTGGACTGGCTGGTATGGACATCACACGTATGCTCACCACGCACATGTACGGGGGGGACAATGTCACTGCACCTGACAGTCTATTCCTCTTAGAAACTCAAAGCACTCACGTTTCATTACATGCTGACTGCGTTATACAGTGTATTTCTATTCTTTGACTTATTTCTAAAATATCTTTTATAAAATACATACTCTAAAAATTTCAGCACAGAATATACAAAGCTGGGATTGTTCTATAGACCCTGCTCTATAAATCTGTCTAGTTTTCAAAGCTCATCTTTCCCACGACTGCCCCTTTTCTTTCTTGATGGCCAGAGGTATTGGACCTTACAGCAGCACTCGGCAAACTGCTCAGTGAGCACGTGGCCTCACGCTCGCAGTTTATCCTCAAATCCAATCAGCTTCCTGGGAGGTGCTTGCAACATAATGCAATCCAGGAGGAACCAGGCTGGGTCTCGTTTGACACCATGCCCACTCCACCAGCTCACCCTCAAATTAGTCTCAGGGAAAGAAATCACACCTCATCGAAGTTGATGAGTTAATGTACTTAATTTTATTTCACTTCCGTATCCTTCCCAGGCCACAACCAGCCAACCTCCTTGACCCCCAGCAGAGCCAGGCAAAGGGGAAACCAGTGCACTTCACTGGGCTCGTTTTACAGCTCGGACAATAATTCTGGAGGGATGTGCTATAGAAGCGTACACTTGAAACCTATATAATCTTATTTACCAAGCTAACCTCAATAAATTCAATTTTAAAAAAACACAATCCTGGATGGAAATAAAACTGAAAGTAGCTGAAGAATGGTTCTTGTGAATCTATAAAACTGAATGTTCACAGAAGAAAGGGGCCAGCTGTGCTTGGAGGGAAGTTCAACAGCACCGAGGTTCCCAAGCTCACCCTGCGCTTTGAACTCCTTGAACCGTCCCAAGTCATCCCGGTACATGCGCTTAATCGTGGTGGCCGCCCTCTCCCCGATGCCGGGGATGAACTCCCGGAGCTGCCGCACGGCAGACGCCAGGTCCACGTCTGCACCCTCCGAGTCTTCAGACAAATGCCGAGCTTCAGAATCTCTAGCCCATTCCACGCTGTTTTCTTCATCTGCAGGTCCTAACCTAAAGGGGGAATTGGATTAGTGTTGAGACATCAGTTGCCCTAGTAGCTTTTAAATTTTTTTCCTGAAATGACTCTCACTTTGACGAGAGGTGGTTCAGCTGGGGATGTCTGAACTCGGGTGTAACTGCTAACTTGGATCCATACTTCAGAGGCTGCCCACAAGGCAGACGTGTAGCCCTACACTGCTTCCACCAGAGATTATGTCTTACATTACTATTTCTCAATGAATTTTGTTTTAGATGCGGACTTCCTAATAAGCTAAGCCCTCTGCTACCGCCATAGACACCTCTCCCCGACCCTTCCAATGAGTTAAGTTTTATAATAATGGTTACTAATTAGTTAAATCAATGCCAGGGTTTCCATGGTTACAGTTATTTTTACTGTGGTAATAGCCACATTTCCCCTTTGCATGGTTTTCTATGTATCAATCACTAATTCATCCCCAAACTGTCTGCCAAATGTTCAAATTTCCTCTTCGTAAGTTTGACTGTATCAATTAACTACTCAGACAGGAAGCTGGAAAAGAAATTGTGTGTATTTGTCTAAGAAAAGGGTCCACAGTTTTCAGAGGGCGCTGTACGTTTCCTGGCCTATCTCTGGGATTCCTGCCATTTACAGGGATGTGCTGAACAGAGGCCCCAGGCAGAATCTGGACAGAAGACAGACGCCCTCAGGAGGCACAACAGGCCACGTTACCTCTGCACCTCTTGCGGACACTCCTGGGTTGGCTCCTCTCGCGGCCGGGGTGTCATGCTCTCCTCAATCGAGGAGCCGGTGCCTTCCAGTGAGTCGAGGAGCGGGTCCCTGAAGCTCGTGGGGCACCCCGAGAGCCCACCGCCGGAAGCTGGGGCGCTTTCAGCAGAAGACCTCCGCCTCTTTTTCTTAGCCCTTTTCTTTAACCTGCAGGGCTCTTCCCAGCCCTCTGCAGGCCCCGCACCTGGGACCACTTGCGAGCCCTCCGAGGTCCCAGGCTCGGGACCCTCAGATTCCTGGCTACGTGAAATCTTTCTCTTTCTTTTCTTAGGCTTTTTCTGAGCAGCCCCTGGCAGCTGTGTGACCGCGCCTTCGAGGCCCACAGAGAGCAGGGACTCGGGCTGGGACAGGGCCCTGGCACCGGAGCCCAGGCCTCCCAGCCCCGCATCGCAGGGCGCAGCTTCCCGCCTACGCTTTTTCCTTTCCTCCCTCACTTTTCTGCGTGATTCTTCCGACTCATCTTCATGTCGCTTAGAAACTGCACGCGGCTCAGCGGCTCCGGGCGCTCTGGCTGCCTCCTGTTCCTTGCTCATGTCAACATAAACGATGTCAACATTCCTCCTACGGCTCTTCGACGTGTTCTCGATGTTCGCCTTGTCCACCAGGATGCACACGCCCGCCTCGTCCTGTAACCCCGGGGCGCTGCTCCTCCGCCTTCTGGCTGCAGAAGCGGCCTTTTCGGGCTCCTCAAGGAGCTCTGGTGCTTTCCAAGCAGACGAGGCCAAATGCTGGCGGTCCTTTCTCTTTTTTTTCGTTTTGTGAGACTGTTCGCTTGCTGGGGGGACGTCTCTGAAACCTTCCTGGGCATGCGTCCTGTGTCTCTCCTTATCTACAGAATACTTCTTCTTTTTCTTGTCAAAAACTGGAGTGCGGATCTCCCATCTGCTCGACTCGCCTTCCATTTTATTCCTAGAGGGAAACTTGACAACAACGGCTTATTTTTGCAAAGCATTTTAAACACTAGCCTTGGGAGGAAAAAAAAAAAATCACAGAAAATGGAACTTCATGACAATGGCAGGCTAGAGTCATGATTACACGTTTTAGGCCAGAGCATACGCTCAGGAGGCCGCTGCTGCCCACTCCGCCTGCTCCCACCGCCTTCACGACAGAGAAAAAATAGCTAAGGGGAACCACCGTCCCTGCACCGCCAGGTCCTGCTCCCCACAGCGTCACCTTTTACCTCTCCTCCAACTCTGTGCTCCAGCCACACGTGCCCTTTTCTGGTCCCCCAAACATGCCACACTCCCTCCCTTGGCTCAAGGTCTGACAGCACCCAAGTCCCTGTGTCTCAGAGCACTCTCTGCTGCCTCCCCTCCTCCTCGCCGCCTTCCATCCTTCAGCGCTTGGCTGGAACATCACTGTTTCAAGAAAGCTCTCCCTAGACAAAAGGATGTACACATGATGACACCATGTATATTAAGTCTAAAATCCACAAACAATTTTATGTATCTTTTCTCAATGGATACATATGAGTAAAACTATGAACATAGGTATGGGGATTAAATTGGCAAATTCAGGGATTAGGGACAAGTACAGAGCCAGTTTCTCCTATAGCTGTGATTTTTTTCTTTCTTAATTGGGGTAATGAGGATGGGGTGCTACATTTTTATCTATATTACTTGAATGTCCAAAATAAAAAGCAAGGGGCAGAACAAGGGTATAGGTTGCTTTTGTTTGTGTTTAAAAACAATCAATTCAAGGATATAAATATCTAAGTATTTACCCAAAAAAAGCAATAGAAAGAAAGATTCCCATGACCCCTTGGGCTTGGCCCATTCCCCAAATGCTACACTGATTTCATAGCAAACTGTACTTAATTTTTGTAACATTTTGCCCAACTGTAGCTTTAAAAAATAAGAAGGTTACTTAATTAGTCATTTAATGTCTGTCTCCTCTGCTAGAAAAGGAAATTCCAAGAAGGCGGCGATCTGCCTGTATTGCCACCATCGGGGAGCCATGTCCTGGAACTCTATCTGACATCAGAGTGCAAGACCACCAATGTCTTCACAGTGGGGACATTCAGTGTCCACTGACCTCAAAAAGAAGGTCACCTCTGAGAAAGAGGCTGGATGGGCCTTGTTAATGTCCAACAAAGAGTCAGAATTCTACACTAAGTTGGAATGAGATTTCATAAGGCACCAATGTCAATACTCAGAGAGCACATGCACTTTGCAGCTGAAGTACATTAACAGAAATGAACTTTATAAAAGAGATGGTTACAAGTATAATTTTACAAACAAGTCTTATAACCCTCCTTGCTCTGTATTGCTTCTGTGTTTCAATTTTTAAGACTTCATTTCTCTTTGACTAGTTAAACATTTATGTGGCTCAAACTCCATAAACTATTCTCATTTCCCTCCTTCCTTACACAGAAGGTAGCATCGATATATTCTGATCAGCATTTTGCTATTTTTCATTTAACAACGGATCCAGGAGCTCTCTCTGTTATCAGCAGTTTCTCAGGTCTGAATGGTGACCACATTTTCTACAGAAGACACCTAGCTTCTCCTGGGTAGTGAAGAGGCTAGAGGAATTGTGTGGCTGGAGGGAGGGCAGCTACAACCGAACACATGGACTTACACTATACACCAAATCCCCCAGCCTCAGGGTCTCACCTTCCATGGAGGCACCGAGAGCTTTGGTTGAGGCCTTCCTCCCTGATGTCACCCAGAGACTCATGGGAACCTAGGTATGACCTCTCTAAGGTCTCAGCTATAGGCAAGGTCAGTGCTGCAGGCTGACCCACTATTCGGAGAGTCTAGCAGACTTTGTCCATCTTATACAGTATACTACTGTAGTCCCAGCATCCAGCATAGTGCCTGGCTCAGAGGAGGAGCTCAATAAATACATATTATGGAATGAATCAATGCCTTCTCTTTGGCTGTGCTTAAACTGCTAAAGGCGGCTGGAGAAGAAAAAAAATCACAATTGGGCAGATGAGCACCACTCTAAACACTTGGTTGCTGATTCTAGGTGGGACCTGAACACTGTCCAGCAATTGAACTATGCCCACCTAGACCTGCTACAGTAGCCACTAGCCACACGAGGCGGCTGGGCACCTGAAAGGCAGCCAGGCCAAACTGCGCTCTAAGTATAAAGGGCACACTGGGTCCCAAAGACCTAAAACAAAGACACTAAAGGACCTCAGTCGTGATTTTTGCATATTGCTTTCTGTTGAAACAGTAATTTGAATACTGTTGGATAAAATACATCCCGAATTCCACCTTTTCCTTTTCATGTTTTTTACTGTGGCTACTAGCCACAATATTAAATTACATATGTGGCTTGCACGCTGTTTTTCTGGACAGCACTGCTCCAGACAGCTCACTTGCCCGCTCTCTTGAAAGAACTATTTCAAATCGCCTTAACTCTCAGCAGACTTCTAAATGCCACTGTTCCCCTCACCTGCAGCCAACTAACTTGCCTCTGACCTCCCTCATGCACACACGTTAGATAAGAAATGTTTCCCTCCAACCCAGCATGCCTGGGTGCACCTGTCCCCTTCGCTCTTCCCCTCTTGCTGCAGCAAAGGAAGTGACCCTTCTCCTGACAAGGCCACTCCCTGCCCGTGCTGCTGGATGCCAGCCTCCCGCCGCCTCTCAGAGACCCGGATCCCTCAGGTCACCCATCCCCCCATCTCTAGCCTGTCCGCACTGGCTGCCTTCTAGGAACACTCCATCCATCTCTAGGCTCCTCTAAATTAAACAAAACAAGCAAAAAACAAGGAAGCAACCATCCTCTCACGCTAACGCTCCATCCCCTTCCTCCCCTTCACAGCAACATTTCTTGGGAGAAACTGCTCTCTCCGTTTCCTCCCCTCCACCCACTTCGTAGTCCCACCCTCCCTACTCGCGCGTTCGCCGAGCGCCTAGGCCTCTCCCGGCCCATCCCGCAGGACCTCCTCACAGCAAGGAGCAGAGCAGGCTGTTGCATTAAATATCCCACTCCCCACCACTGTCTTCTTCGTAAACACCCAAGTTCCTCCGTCTCGTTTCTTAAATTCAACACAACCCTTTAAATACACGGTCACTGCCCGCTACGTACATGGTACGGGTTCCCCGTTCCTCTTAGGCCCAGACCCACGACTCCACAGAGCTACCAGGCCCTCGGCGGCCGGTCAGGTCGGCGCCCGGGCTCCGCGGCGGACGCTGCCCCCTCGGTTCCCGCAAACACTGCGTCCCCGGCGTCCTCCGGGACGTGCCGAAGGCGGCCGCGTCCCCGAGGAACGCGTTTCCTCCGCGCTGCCTTTCTGAGCTGAGGCTGGTCTGAGTCTGAAAGTCGCTTGGAGGCCTCCGACGGCTCCACTGGCCCTGCCGGGTGTGCGGCGTGTCCCGGGAGCCCCGCCGCCCCCTCCGGCGCTAACCACCAGGGGCCTCCCGCCGGCGGGGCCTCGTCCTCTGGGCCCAGAGAGTCCCTGCAGCGAAGGCTACGCGCCGATCTCCACCCCT